CAAAGACACACAACTACAGATGCATTTAATAGAAGCCTCTCTCTGCTCGAGATCTACAGCTGAGACTCCTGCAGCAAAATGTGCTGTTGGGAACATCCTGTGCTCCAACCACGATGGCTCTGGGAGGAATCGGAGCCAGTATTATGTGCTGGTGCTCTGAAGGACTGAATGTTCACTTCAGACACACGTTTGGGGGATGTACATTTATGCATAGATTTTGGGATGCAGCACATCCCACTGCGAACTTGGACAGCAGCTTGCTCTTCCATCTAAGAATTCCTCTCTTAAGAAATCCCAGTGTTGTGTAAGGAAGGGCACAGCCCAGGAGCTGTTCCAGCAGCAGCTGAGCCAGGTTAAGGCGTTCTCACCTCCAGCCTGCCCACAGCTGTGTATCCACTGCCCCCCACTAGGGGTTACCACCCTTTTCCATGAGCCACATAACCACATCTGTGGACACTCCCAAGTCTGGCTCCGTCAGAATCATCCAGTTTAGCTTAAGTCCTTTTTAGTAAGTTTATTGTTTGGGCTTATTTTTATTATTTTTTGAGCTAGTTCATCTCGAGATTGATAGTTTCTTGACTCAGTTCAGCTGCGACTGGAACAGCATCTCTGACCACGCTCCAATAAAGCTGTTGCAAAATTGCATCTGTCAGTCTCTTCAGTCAAAGCCTGTAAGACCAATCTAAAGATAATATATTTAATATTAATTCCCTAAACATTCTTTTGTCTGCCATCTCACTGTTTCCCAGGTATTACTGGAAATTTATATCACTTCTGTGTGCAGCAGTCTATTCTCCAACAGCTTATTTAAGGAGATATAAGATAATCAACACTCTGAAGAAACCATCACAAAAAAAAGCCCTCCACGTCCTCCCTCTTCCAGAGAATTTACTGTTTCCCTGAGGTGCAGAACTGCAAGAATCCAGTAAGTCATGGGGGAACCTGATCAGAAACTGTTGATGCATTTATATTATTAGTATTATGACTTTATTTCATTTTCAGTTCTTGGCATATGGGACTTAGGAGACTTGTGCAGCCAAGGCCTCGCACAGCCGTGCCAGGAGGCAGCAAAGGTAGTTTGGGGAGACACAAATATTTGCTTCGCTGACCTCTGTGTTTGGCTCCTGAGGAGGCTCGATTTGTATTCAGGCCCATGCTTGTGCTCTCAGGGAACACACAGAACTCAGGCCAATTGTATGGGATGGGAGCACAACGAGGAGCCCTGCTCAGGCTCTGACATTTAGCAAGCCAAGAGGGTTGAAGATGGAGCCAAGTCCATTGCCTGGCTTGGCTGCACGAACCAAAACACAAACCTCGCCACTGGAATTGATTATAGGCACATGAAAAGAAAATACATAAAATGATACATAAGGTTCTTGTAACCTCCAGGAGCTGATGCCAGAATATGCTCATGGGCTTGGTTCGACACCACAAGCGAGCGCAGAGCTCGGCCCAGGCTGCGCTCGGGTTTTCATCAGATTAACTCTTCAGCTCAGGTCAGAGCACCCCTTCTGCTGCTCCCAGATCTGAGCTTCCCCTCCAGCCCCCAGGGAAAGGAGTAGCTGGCTGTGTGAATGCAGGATTTATAGCCCTTCAGCTGGTGCAAAAGGTGCTATAGCTGCCCACAGGAGGAAAGGAAATTGAATTAAGTGAGATTAGGAATCTACACAACAGAGGAGCCAGAAGGCTGTTTATGCTAAATGTAAAATACTGCATGAGCCAGCCCCACAGAAAGCGCATTCTTCCTCTGCTACGGATCCCAGTTATCCCTCAACACAAACTGGGGGCTTTGGCTATGCATTTCTTAGTTTAATTATGGTTAATAATTGAGTTAGGAAGCTTAATCCATGCAGACTACTACATTGATTTGAACAACAAAGCCCAGCAAGCACTAAAATGTTATATTTCTTGGAAGAATTTGAGTTATTAATAGTATTCTTTCCAGTGTGAAGACTTGTGCCTTTCTGTAGAGTCTCACTGTTCTCCAGAAGGACACTTTTTTCTCAGTTTGAAGTACTTGATATGATAGTTTGATATGATGAAGGGAAGGCTTTCAGGAGGGGCTCGAAAGCAAACATTATTGTGTTGCTGCAACACCAGTGAGACTCAGCATTTCCTTGGAAATGAGCAGAGCTAAGATGATGTTTTTTTCACTTCCCGGTAACCCTTGTGCAAGGTGTTGGAGCCTTTCTGAAATGAGCACTAAAGAGATTGTCTGAAAAATGAATAAAGCCTTTATCCGGAAAAACCCTCAAAACCCGAGTTACCACAACTAGATTTGCTTGTGGCCAAGCACCTTTCCTTTCTGAAACACCAAACCCAAAGGCTGGAAGCAAATAAAATGTTTCTGAAGGACAGGGAGAAACAAAGGCAAAGGGATGATCTTTAAGGCCCCTTCCAACCCAAACCATGCTGTGATTCCATGAATAGTGGAGTCCAGTGTTCAGGTATATCATATTTTCTTCTAAGGAATAAGTAATTTAATCCTACTACAGTTACTCCTGTAGCAATTTCCCTTGAGGTTTCAGGAACTGCTAACTGTGTCCTGCTAACAGAAAGCAGGAGTTCAATAGTGCACTCAAACTTTCCCAATTTAACTTAAGGTTTAGTCTTTTCTAATTCAAAGACATTTCATTTGAAAGTGTTTTTGCCTTATAATAAACAGATAATAAACAGATTCTTGGTTTCCTACAATAAAAAGAGAAAAAGACTGTAAACTTGAAACTTTTAAAAGGGCACATGAGACTATTCTTTAATTTTACTCTTTGGCTGTGGAATCTATACTCATTAAAAGTGAAAAGTTGAGCTCTGATTACTATTTGTGCTTTTAAAGTTTGCATTTCTACCCCTGGAATGAAAGGCAAAATGTGCTGATGTGCTTTCACTTTTTGGTTTTAGATTTCTTTTTCCTTCCTGTTGCAATGTGGCACCAAAATGCCAAGTCTGGATTCCCTAGAATGCAAAGAAAGTAACATACCACAGTTTTAAAGAATCTTTCTAAAATGAAAGATGTGCAGTTAAAGATGTAAGATACTGAAAACACTTCACAAACTATGAAGTTTGGCTATGAAGTGATAGAAAGGGTTGTGAGATGGCCCAGCTCTTTCCTTGCTGTGAATCACCATGATGTGCTGATGATCCAAATATGGAATTCTTCCCTGTTTTGCTGTATTTTTCTACAGAAGAAGAAGAAGAATAAATAATAAAAATAATATAATTGAGCTGCAGACATAAATGGAGACTGGATTTGTGACAGCCAGCATGAGAGAGGCAATAATTCAACCTGATGGGAGAGGGCAAGAAACAGGAAAGTGTTTCCATCTCCTCATCCTACTGTTGGAAATGGAAATATGGCTTCGTATAAAGACCACAATTTGGAATATGCTGAGCTTCTGTACATCCTGTTGTTGTACTATAGTAACAAGCTTTTTAATGCCTGAAAAATGGAATTTTATTTGAAGGTGGGGAAGGGGTGGCAGGCCCAGGAGCCCCAGCTCGGGATGAACAGCTGTCTGGATCTCGGTGTGGATGTCTCTGTGCAGCATCTCCCTGGTGCAGCCCAGCCCCAGATGCAGCTGCTGGCCCTGCCCAAGCTGGGCACACCCCTTCTCCCAACGGGATTTGCCAGATTCTAAATGTCTGCCAAATTCTGTCTGCTCAGAGCAAAGCAAAACCCAGCGGGGCATGTGCAAATCAACAGCACATGGACGAGTTTTCCCCTCATCCCCCACGGCTTTCTTTCGCTTTGACTGGAGAGTCCAGAACATGCCGTGCTTTAAAGGGTGTTTGGGAACTGCTTTCTCCTACAGCTTGGAAAGAAAACTTAATTATTATTTAATTAAAACTGTTTTTTTCAAAACTTGTTTTCATTCCTAACAGAGCCATAACGATCCAGCCAATGCTCTCAGTGTAAACATGCTTCACACAAAATGGTTTTTAGAACAAACCATTAATTTCAAGACTTCCTGGTAATATATGTATTGCTGTTAAAGTAAATATTTTTCCATAGGTTTTGAGTCTGTGTTATCAGGGTTGCAATAAATTCTGCTACTCCCGCATAAAGACATTAAAAACAGAATGGCATTATGTGTCAAGTGAATTATTTCCAATGGATTAAATGAATTAATCTCATCCTGACTTTCCAACCTTAATTCTAAACATTTCTTGAAGGAACTGAAAAATATGTAAATAGGAACAACCACTTGAAATAAAAATATGCAGGGTCTGTTCTGAAAATATTGACATGAAGTGATTGACATTATCAGAGGATCTCTTTGCCTCGAGATATCTCAATGAAATTAAATTGTTTCTGACAAGTTCCTGAAGAAATTTTTAGTTCAAATGAAACCATATTTTCAAAGAAAAATATTTTGGAGATAAATCTGTGCCTCTCCCCCCTTGGTGCAGAGTCCCCTGCGACTCATGAACAGAGGGAGCTGTTTGCCCTGCCGTGGCTTTCAGTCTGAATTTGCCTATTTTTAGTGCCCTGTGTCAGAACTCAGTGGCAACCTGGGGATTTTCCTTGCTTTTTTTGTTTGGGCTTTTTTTTTTTTTTCACTCTGAGTAATTTGTGTTGCACATTGATGTCGCTGCTGTTTGTAAACAGTGGGTTGTGAGCTGTTCCTAAAACCCAGAAGGGTTTTAGCAGAAGGGTGCTTCGCCTTTCCTTCAGATTTTCTCTCTCCCTCTCCGTGCGTGTTCAGCTCCACACTCAATTCCACGTGTTCTTGTAAATGTAAGAGCACAATAAATTTGGGAACCACAACACTTTCAGCTGCCCCACGTCATTCTCACCCCAGTGGTTTCTAAACTGCTCCTCACACCCAGGCACTGCAGATATGCAGGAGCAGCAAACCACGGCTGCCCCCGAGGCACATCCTGTCTCCACGCTCATTTGCAGCATTTTTCCTGGGACAAGTCCCACGGGATACATTCGGAGACTGTTATTTAGTTTTGCAACATGAGTGTACTGGAACCAGGAAAATTCAAAATACTCCCTGAGCAATAGGAACAGGAACTAAAAGATAAATGAGTTTCACATAGGAACTCAACACTGGAAATACTTTTTGGGTTGGGATGTCCGGCCTTTCTCAGCTTGAGGGTTGGGACTGATTTTGGGAGCTCTTATAGGTTCTATGGATAAAGTGATATAGATACTGTCAATGGATTTCAACTTACAGACTTCGTAAGTGCTCCTTTAAATATTCCCCCTCTCCTCCAAGGCAAAAGGTGGGTAAAACTGATGGAAGAGGCCTTGTAATGCTTCCAGAAGATCCATCAGCTGCGTGTGGAGCCCCTCTCATGCTGTATCTGCATTTCTGCCTCTGTGCTGAAAACTGGAAGTGAAAAGGCATCTTGTTAGAAGAACTCAGAATCAAGAAGTGTGGAGCCAGGTTGCAAAACCAGGAAAAAAATCAGAGGGAAGTAGGTGACCAAAAAGGAGGAAGAAGATGTTTCTAAATAATGCCTGTATTTGCCTAACTGGGCAGCAGAGTTACCAATGAACCAGCCCAATAAAGGAAATCTGCATTTTACTGCTGTTTCTTATGGCAATGCATGGAAACATCTCCTGTTTGAGTCACGCTATCCTTCATTTTTCCTCCCCCCAAAGGTATCCATAAGAATGCTGTGAAATTCAACTGGTGAATTTTTGGCATAGAAAGGAGAGAGCTGAAGAAATGCAAGAAGATTTCATAAGAGTTTCTCAATAACAAGGTTTTTGATCTTCCTAACATTATCCAGAAATAAAACAGATATTTCTGCTCAGCTGAACCCAGCTGGCTGTGTGGAAAACATTTCAAAATCTGCCACAAATCTTTATTTTTTTTTCCCTGATGTCTGTTAATTTACTTAAAACAAATCAATTAAATGTCCTAATTACAACTGAAATATATAATTATATTGTGCACTCAGTTCAGTACATGCTAATGAAGCAATCACCACCTTCTTATTAGTCACTCCAGAAAACTAAACCCAAGTGGGAGCTGACAGTGTTTTTCTGCATCTTAAACGAGGCACTTGGTCCATTCTCTGCTTGTTTCTAAACTTGAAACTTGAGCAAAACAGGCAGAAAAAGATACAGGATCATTATATTATTTGCTTTCTTATAGTAAAAATTCAAGAGGAATTACCATCCCCTAAGGTGGATCAGCTCACTTAAAAATTAGAGGCTATTTTTAACATATATGTTAATATTTTGCCAAAAACTTTTAGCAAATGAGTATACATTTTAAAAGAACAGTACACAGCCCTCACCTAATTCAGATGAAAAGTATTTTGGTGAGTGTGCTTTGCCTGCCTAAACAGAAATATTAGAGCAGCTACTTAAATGGTAATTGATAAATGCATAAAATTACTACCATTCAAACTGCAAATCAGTTGGCAAAATTCAATGAAGGTTTAAACATTTCATTGCATTAATGATACAAATGCATACATTTACAGGGAGCAGCATCCAGCCATCTGGCAGCTTTCCACTGTATTTGCTTACAGGTGATAATGCATTTAAAAAGCACTTGAAGCAGAATATGTATTAAGCACTACTAAACTTGCAGAGATTTATTAGCACAAGCTTTTAGACTGTCTCTGCCCTCAAGCAAACTCATTTTTATTTCTGAAAATTAAAAAAAAATTGAGCAATACATCATTTTAAGAAACATCAGCGAGGACGGTGTGGGAGTTATCTTAAAATCCAGTATTTCTTCATGACAAGTGTAGGGCTGTAGCCTTCAGCTTGTATGGGACTGACTGATGGGACTGCCTCAGAAATGCTGATAATATCCACAGGATGTTCATTTACACATTAGGGCAAGGATGGACATTTGGAAAACTCTCTGGGATCTCCAAAGACTAATGATCTGACACTTGGAGCACTTTAAGTGCTCTGATTTTTCAGACAGAGCTGAAATTCTGTCCATCCATCCAAAAATCAGGCACTTCCAATTCTTTGGGGAACTTAAGCTAAAGGACATTATTAGTTCTCCCAACAGATGAGAGCAAAGACAGCAGGAAAATATTTGCAGGTATTTGTAGAAGTGTCCTATGAGCATTTGCAGGAGAGGGTGAATGCAAAAGAAAACATCCTGAATACTAAATGTGGATCTCCCATAGAAGACCTTGGAAAGTAAATACGTGGCAGGGCTTGGGACTTTGAGTTGGAATAAATCAATGTGATTGAGGGGGCTGGTCAAACAAATCTGGGAATTGTGTGTCGTGTCACAGCAGCTTGGGATGTACTCCCATCTCTTCATTTCAGCAACAGCAAACTCTATTTGTGGCTGATTAAATAAGAGTAAACCCACCCACTGTGAAGAGCTCACATGCCCCATTCCTGTGTCAAGGCTCCTAAAGGCACCTGGACCTTAAACAAAAAGGTCACTTGTGTGGAGCACACGCAGGAAAGGTGGCATTTCTTCTCACCCAGCAATAGCACAAGGCACAGCATTCATGTTCTGAGTCCTCTGAAGGCCACCACACCTTCCTAATTAATGTTTTCAGTAAGAAACAATTTAAATTAGTGAAGATTTGCCACATGAACCTCCCCACTTCCCACCAAGGTCAGAGATGCTGGTGCTGAAGGCCCTGCATCCTGAATCCAGCACGATGACTTCAGACTCCCATGGTAAAATTCCAACTATCTCATGCCTGGTACAGTCAGGAACACAGAGTGCTGTGTAAACAAGCCCCTTCTGATCTGCTCCAGATATCCAATGTCATGCCCTTGGGTTTTTAGGTCTATACTGACAGGGCAGGCACCCTCCTCCTGGTTGGTGCACGTTCTGAATGGATGAGGTGCAATGAGCAGATGACAGAGATTTCTCTCCATTTTAATGTTTTTTCTGGCCAAAATCCTCTTGAGAATTCAACTCAGCAAGATCTTTAAATACAACTGAGAGCAGGATTTGGCTCAGGGAGTGTTTCCCTGTTTTATTCCCTACAGCTTTTCATTACCACCTTCTAAATCTGTAACGAAACCAGGAGTGTTTTTACGGTGCTCTGTATGAGAGTGTTGCTAATAAGTAGCTCCATTAAAAATAGTAAACATAAATCATTTATTCATTTTATGCATTTCTAAGTTCCACTTGAGAATATTTTTGGCTGAGCCAAGGCACAAGTAAAGGTGTTAATTATTATCTTACTAGAGCAATCAGTTAATAAGGCAGTTAGGAGAGATGTTTGTTGGGAGGTTCTGGGGTGCCCCGAGGCTACTGAAGTCATTGTCTGGGATAGAACACGACCGCTGGAGCTTGCAGGAGTCTGGTGGCACTAACCCAAAGCCCTCGAGGCCTCTGTCTGCAAATTAGCTGAGAGGAGAGAGCAGACACCAGGTCTGAGCAGGGGAGCTGTAAACAAGCAGGTAGAATTCCCGGCGCAGGCTCCCACGGAGCGGAGCAGTGTCTGGGGCCCCTGCGAGGAGCCTGCCAGGGCCATGTCAGTGGAGATGGACAGGGAATTGGGTTCAGTTTCCTTCTCTCCCAAAACAGCAGCAGCCTTTTCGGGGCTCTGCTGCGTCCTCAGGCCAAGGAACAGGGCTCTGCACCACTGACAGGGCTGAGCACCTTGGAGCAGCTCTGCTCTCCCTGCTCACCTGTTCATCCCATGTGAGGACCCCAAATGCTTCCAGACTCCTCCAGGACAGAACAGCTCCTTTATTCACTCTCCTGCTGCACCAGAGCTGGATGGACATCCAGAGCAGTGTGGTACTGACCAAAGCCATCGGCTGTCTGGCCATGGCTAGGTGGCCTTTGCTCCCGCTGTTTCCAGACAGTTCAACACCACAAAACCCACTCTGGTCATTGGGCTTCACTCCAGAGGCCATGGACAGAAGGTGTTTTCAGGTTAAATGCGAAAGGTTCAAGGAGAGCAGCACGCTGGGGCATCTTGCTCCTCTTTTGCCTGATTTCTGCCTGTTCCCTGCTCAGTAACTTGTATTCTCCACTCCCCACTGCAGCACTGGGTGACAAGAGCTAAACAGCTCCATTAGTGACTTGCAGGAGGGAGGTCATCCCAGTCTCCCAAAACCGAAGGAAAACCACAGCTGTGTGCCCTGAGCCGAGGGTGTGTCGAGGAACCTGTCCACAAGGGAAGTGTTTCTGGTTATGAATTATATCCTACACCATCCCTGTGGCCCTATTAGGGATGCACTCCGAGGTGCTCCGGGGGTAGCCTGTTCTAGGGGCTAAATTTCCCCCTGTGGGATGGAAGAAATATTAGAGGAGTTGCCTGAGAAGGGAGGGGAGGAAACCACTTTCTGATGTACTTCAGAGCCAGATAATGAGTCCTTCTGTCCGACATCACTGGGAATGATCTTCTGTAACTCCAAAACACTTGAACTGATTTGCAGCACAGAAATCACTTTAAAAATGCTGGTCCATTTACTTGTCCTCCCTAATCCAGATAGCCCTCAAAATATGGCTGTAGGAGACAGATCCCATTTCACCAGCACAACGGAGATACTCTTTATTTGAGACAAAACAGTCCCAGATTTATTCTACAGTTTGGGATAGTATCTAAGCAGAGGACTGTTCCTTGTCAGTGAGGGAAATGCTATCATTCCCACTTTGCAGATGGTAAATTGAGAAAGAATGAGTTGAACACCTTACCCAAGGATGCAGGAAAAGCTGTAATCACGCTGAAAATGGAGCCGAGATCTCCTGACTTCATCCAGTGGGATTGTTGTCGGGCAGATTATTTGTTTCTTTGAGGAGATTCAGTAAAGCTTCCAACAAATCTACCATGAATAGCCCAGAGCTGACACTGTCTCTGGGAGCTTGTCCTCCACTGGAAGAACATAGATGGAAAATAAATATTAGATACATTTAATTAATTATTTAATAATCTATGGGGTTCATCACAGGCAGGGAGACATTTCACAACCATTATTCTGTGGAGTTCAATTGAAGAAGGCTTTGCTTTTAAAGAGATTAAGTTGATTCCCGCCCATAAATTCAGTAGCTACCCCAACTATGCCTCATTGAGGAAACTTCCTCTGACAAGAGTCATGAATTATAACCAGGATAAAATGTTTCATTAAAATACAGATAAGGGAACGTAGGAAACAAGGGTTTTGTATGGATAAAACCAATTTTGCTGCAAAAGCAAATCCTTGGCCATTTTTCAGGTCAGTAAGTTGAAGCCTGGGTGTTATAAATCCATCATCAATGTTTTCTTACAGCTATAGCAGCTGACACATCTGAATCACTGGGAGCTAAAAGCATGCCAGGAGAAATGAGCCCCATCAAAACACATCAGGAGGAGCCGTTCAGCACTGGCTCCTCTAATGTACCTGACTGCTGACAGAACAATATTGGTTCACGAGTCCATCAGGAACAAATGC